CTCAAAATCTATTTTTATATCTAATTATAAATTTTAAATTTCAAAGATGGTTAAAATCAAGTAGATCTATAAGCATATGAAAATCTTGAAAATGGACTGTGTAGATAATAGGTTATAAAATGCATTCTTTCTGGGACTTAAAATCTCTTTGTTTTTCATGTTCATACATCTCGATGTCGAGATGATCAATCAAAAGTTTTTTCAACATTAAAACTGCCTTTTCCGATGGATTTCTGAGGTGCATCCGTAGTTCTACATTATAAGGTTGCATCATTATATAAAATATATATAGATATATATATATATATATATATATATATGAGGAAATATTAATTTTAGCCCACTAGCTTACAACTACATATGAGCATAATAGCCCATATTGAATCTGGGCCGATCTGACTGTCACAACATCATTTGGTATTTTAAAAAATAATTTGCAAAAAATAAATAGACCAAAATACCTGTGAAAAGTTTTGGGGGTATTTTGGTCAATTTATTTATTACAAATTATTATTTTTATATTTATTAGATTTTCTAATTTTTAAAGAATACACCCTACAATTTCAAGTGATTTGGATTTGTAGAAAAGAAAATTAAAATTTAAATACGAAATGAGGTCTTGACCAATCAGATTGGCCCAGATTCAATCTGAGCCATTGGGATCAAAATGCCTCTCAAAGGTTTTGGGCGTTACTTCTTGCAAATTATGTTTTTGATATTTATTAGATTTTTCAAGTTTTAAAGAATACACGTTTACAATTTCAAGTGATTTGGATTTGTAGAAAAAAATTAAAATTAAAATACGAAATGAGGTTGTGATTGCCAGATCGGCCTAGATTCAATCTGGGTCGTTGGGCTCATATGTAGCTATGAGATAGTGGGCTAACCTCAGCATTTTCAATATATATATATATATTGCAATGATTTCATGCAACGATTGTATCATAGTATGATGCACCCACACTTCTAGAAAACCATGTTTGTAGTATTTGTATGGCCCAAAATTTTGACACACACTCTCTTCATCTCAATAATCAATCCTTAAAAAAAAAAGTCCAATTTCTGTTGTGCCCTGATACCACTTGTTGTGCGCGCAGAAGCTTTAAATTCGATGGGTTAATATTTGACAAATAAAATATGATAAATAAAGTATGAAATACAATACAAGAATAAAAAGATTTACGTGGTTCACCCAAGAGGGTTACATCCACGGGCATGGCAAACAAAAATCCACTATACCAAAGAAAGTTACATCAAAGATTTTGGATCAGACCTCGACAAAAATCCCCAGTTGAGAAAACCCCTTTAAACCTCTCTCCCTTCCTTCTTTTTACTTCTGGCAACCATTACCAACAACACCAGATAGAGACGCAAGAGCAACGAGAAACTTACTTTCTCTTTAATCAAAAGGGGAACAACCCAAAATCTTTGTGGGAACTGTTTTTTCTCTACAAGCCTCTTCGAGAACCTAAAAGATGCACCATCACAATGTTTTTGTCCAAAGGAAGCTTTTTTCTCTCTAAGAGGAAATTGTATAAGCAAAAGAAACTTTCTTCTCTCTAAGAGGAAATTGTATTCTATACACAGGAGGTTCTAACTCTCTCTCTCTTCAGAGGATCTCTTTCTCCAAAGGAACCACCATTTCTATATAGTGACCCAAATAACACTTTCATCCTATATATATAAGATTAGAAGTCTATACTTAATAGGAAACTTCTTATTGGTATTATATATATCTCAAATGACTAAGAGATATATCCATCCAAGAGTCCTAATCTTTTTAGATTTCTATTTCCCATAGGAAAACTTATCAAATATCAATATCAATCCCGCATAATATGGGAATATCTCAATCCCACAAAATATGATAATATCTCAATCAATCCCACAAAATATGGGATTTCTTTATGTGGGTGATTTTGGATAGCACCAAATCCAACAATCTCCACCTTGATATCAAAATCACCTACTCACCATGCCAACATCCATTGGATAGCTTTATGGATTCTTCATCTTTTGCCAAATAAATTTCTTCATCATTCTTGCTGAAAAATAGTGTCTCCATAAAATTTCTCCGCCTCGAACCTTGCATTCGAAACCTTTAATGCCATATTGAAAACCCCAAACCGGGCTATGATACCACTTGTTGTGCGCGCAAAAGCTTTAAATCCAATGAGTTAATATTTGGCAAATACAGTATGAGAAATAAAGCATGAAACACAACACAAGAACACGAAGATTTACGTGGTTCACCCGAGAGGGCTACATCTACGGGCACGACAAATAGAAATCGACTATACCAAAGAAAGTTACATCAAAGATTTTAGATCAAACCTCGACAAGAATCCCAAGTCAAGAAAACCCCTTTAAACCACTCTCCCTTCCTCGTTTTTACTTCTGGCAACCATTACCAACAACACCAGATAGAGACGCAAGAGCAACGAGAAACTTACTTTCTCTCTAACTAAAAGGGGAACAACCCAAATCTCTATGGGAACCGTTTCTCTACAAAAAACAAGCCTCTCAATCTTCGGGAGTCTAAAAGATGCACCATCACAATGTTTCTGTTTAAAATAAGTTTTTTTCTCTCTAAGAGGAAATTGCATAAACAAATGTAGTTTTCTCTATAAGAGGAAATTTCATCTTATGCACAGGAGGCTCTAGCTCTCTCTCTCTCCAGAGAGATCATGCTCTAGCTCTCTCTCTCTAGAGGAACCATCATTCCTATATGGTGACCCAAATAGGGTACACGAATTCTCTGCACTTTTATCGCATATATATAAAATTAGAAGTCTATACTTAATAGAAAACTTCTTATTGGTATTATATATATCTCAAAAGGCCAAGAGATATATCCATCCAAGAGTCCTAATCTTTTTGGATTTCTATTTCCCGTAGGAAATTTATCAAATATCAATATCAATCCCAAATAATATGGAAATATCTCAATCCCACAAAATATGAAAATATCTCAATCCCACAAAATATGGAAATATCTCAATCCCACATAATATAGAAATATCTCAATCCCACAAAATAGGATAATATCTCAATCAATCCCACAAAATATGGGATTTTCTTATGTGGGTGATTTTGGATAGCACCAAATCCAACAATTTCAACCCTAGATATGGTCAAAATGAGTCCCCTCCAACAACGAATCTGAACCATTCATTTGGGAAATTTCAAGATCTTAGCTTTTATAAACTAAAAATCCTTTTTTTTTTTTTTAGCATTGTTCATATAACGATAATAAAGCCATCTAAAAAAATTGGAAAAGAAAAAATCTTTTTGAAGCCTAGATCTAAGCATCATATCAAATGGATGACCTATGTTAATTGGTCTAAAAAAATACATTTTAGGTTCCGCTTTCAAATTTATTTTTTTTAAGATTGTTCATTAGAATAAAAAAAGTGTACATTTCAAAATTTGGATCAAATAAATGGCTGTAACATGGTTTTTGAAGGTTGTTGCATTATATTACTATACAACCGTTGCATGAAATCACTTCCCATGTATATATATATATTGCTGAAAACTGCAAGTCAAGTTGGCATTTGTACTGACACTTAGTAAACTGTTGGATTTTCACTGGCCTGTATTACTTTATTAATATAGGTACTTGTTTGCTATTTATGTGCGTGAAAGTGGTTTATGCAAAATTTTGTTTTTTATATGAAGGTGTATCAAATGGGTTCAGGAGTCCTTCCCTTCTGGTGGAGAATACTCAGGATTGTTATTAATCTACGAACAATGTGTGCGCACTTTCTGGCATCAAGAGCGTTACAAGAATGATCTACGCTACTTAAAAGTTTGGTTGGAGTATGTAAGTGGCTTTATCATCTCCAAGATTTTAATTGAGATGAGTATTGGATATTTATGTCAAAAGTTTGTGATGAGTTACCAATTACCAAAAAAAAAAGTTGTGATGACTTTTGTAGATGAAGAAAAATAAGTCCAAATATGATTGGTTAATGTGATGCAGGCAGAGAATTGTTCTGATGCTGAAGTGATATACAGTTTTTTGGATGCAAATGAAATTGGACAAAACCACGCAATTTATTATGTGGCATATGCTTTGCATATGGAATCTAAAAATAAGATGAAAAAGGCAGATGAGATCTTTAATATTGGCATCGCCAGGTGAGTCTAAAACCTACCCTTTCTTGTAGTTTTAATTTATACCTTGTATCTTATAAGTGCAAGGCTCTAATTTTCCTACGAAGGTTTAGTCTATTTGTTCCCACAATGTGGAGAGCAAGCACAGGTCTTGAGAACTTCTATTCTTCCAATGGAAGAAAGGCACAAATCTTCAGAACAACACCTTATCTCTTACATCATAATAGCTTGGAACACAACTTCAGTAAATGCTAAGAATGCTTAGACTAGGAAGAGGCCCATACATACAGGTTTTTATGTGTGTGTGCAGGTTGGTGTGTGTCTGTGCCCATGCATGTGTAAATTTGGGTCTCTAGTTTGGCATGTCCTTGATAGAACAAGCTGCCTTTTGTAATTAGAAAGGAGCAATATCGCCTTTTGTTCAATAAGTTAGCAATAACTAGGTAAATAATGAAAGAGTGTCAATAATTAACCTCAACATAATTGCTCTGCCCTTTTTCTAAAACCAGATAAGTAAATAATGGAAGAATTGGCCACAATACCCCTTAATACAATAGTTGTGCTCTTTTTAGACCCAAATTAGTAAATACTAGAAGAATGGGCAATGGTACCCTTCAATAGAATCGTTGTGATCTTTTTAACCTAGAAGTTATCATGAATGTTCCTGGTGAATCTTTTACTGCGTGGATTACTACTAGGGATGTTGTGATAATGAAATCAGTCATTTGTTTGCAATGATAATCGTCAATAAGGAGACAATTACTTGTACATTATTTGTTTAGTGACAAGTGTATTGCAAAATTTCTTGATCTTTAGATGCTTATTCACAGATGTCTGGTTTAGCTTAGGTTTATTTGGTCACTTATGCTACTAGATTTTAGGAAATGTAATAAGTTTGAGAAAGTGTCCATTCTTCTTGTTGTTCCTTGCTTATACATTCCCTTTCTTGATTTCTCCTACATTTTATTTTCTTGGCTAGTACTTCATGAGAGCAATTAATTTGGGCAGTTTGTGTGTGATTAGAGGAGCATAGCAAATGGTTACATGTCATATCTGATAATTAAAATCCAAGTGTATGCATGCAGTCCCAGCAGTTGATGATTGTAAAATTTGAATATATTTTAAATGCTTCTTTTACCGGATCTTGATAATTGACCTTGACGCAATATTGCTTATCAGTAATTAATACGTATAAGCCATTTTGCATGATCATTGATACATGTGAGTCAATATGGTGTTTTAATTGTTGTTTTATGTTTTAGGAAAGCACAACCAATCGAAAAGTTAGAAAGCTCTTACAAGAAATTCATGGGTCGAGCCATTGCAAGAAGCAAAGCCCAGGATGTATGCACATTGAGACCTTGAGATTTCCTATTCTAGCTTTTGTCACTTGCCTATTCTCTTCTCACCCATCACCTTGCATTATCTCATCTTAGATCTTCATACTCTGTAGGAAGAAGTTGTAGAAGATCATTTACCTGTTCGAAGCTTTGGAACCATAGTGGCTGCAAGAGAGGCCCGTAAGTTTTACTTCACTATTCTTTGCCCCTCCCCAAACCCACCTTTTTTTTTCTCTCTCTTCGCTCTATATGGCTTTAATTGCTGCTACCTTTCTTATTTTGCTCTGGATGTTGTAGGAAGACAAACCACACGGCAATCAGATATATTCCAGAATAAGGCAAAACTACAAAGGTGTGTTGTCAAACATTCATTTCTTTTACAGTAAGCTCAATTCCTCAGCCTGATTTCAGTGGAACTGGAATTTTTAGGTCCATGACTTGGTGAAGCTATGGCATAGTGTAATCTGTTTCTTTTTTTCAGGGTAAGTAGTAATGCTCCCCTCGCTGTCTATAACGATGCAATATTGGGGACACAAGCAAGGCATCCACACTCTGGTGCTAACCAACTTGATGCAACCAAGAGCCAAGGGCATGCATGGAAGACACTCGGAACCCAAGCTGAAAGAAACAAAGAAAATTCTTCTCTACCATCCAAATGGACATCACACAAGGTATGGAAACCACTCTCTTTTTTCCTTTTTAAATCTAACTTTAATCACTTTCCTTGATGCCAAACAAGAAAACATTTACTTCTTCGAACAGATTTTTGGTTGGTTTTGGGAGAGTGGTCAAGTTAGACGGAATATCATATGTTGAGAAAGAACACCTCGAAATTATTTTGTACTCCTTAATTGACACTCTTTTGTATTTTTAGATTCCTCAAAGAATGGGTGTGAGATCAGGAGCAACATCTGGTGTTGCTCTTGAGGTGTTCATTGATGAAGAATGTGCGAGGTAAACATATGTTTGATATTTCACGACATTTCTCAATAAAATGGAAATGGCTCTTCACATTGATTCTGAGATTCAAAAGAAGTAGAGATTTTTATGTGAACGTAGTTTGAATCTACATGGCGGCCTAGGGATAAAATTTGATTGCTTGGTAATATGGAAAAGTGTATAATACAAATCATCTGCATTTTATACCACCCACGTTGCTTCCATTGTAAATTAATGAGAAGTGGTTCATCTCTGCAATGGTTCATCTCCGCGTGTATATAAAAACAAGGACTTGGGTTGGAACTCGCTAGGGTTCTGTGCCTGGGTCAGGTGAGACAGACTCAGCCAAGTCAGTCAAAGATTGGTTCCAAACTTGGCAGCCTGCCAAGCCCGAGGAACTCAGGCTTCGCGACTTGTCGAGTTTTTCAACATTGATGGTTATATGGTACATTTTCCATAGCACGAGGCATATTATGCTGTATTCAAGTCTAACTTTGTTTTATGATGAATCATGCATAGGCCAACATCAAAGGTTAATGATAATTCTTTAGTATATTATGCAGTATTCAAGTCTAACTTTGTTTTATGATGAATCATGAATAGGCCAACATCAAAGGTTCATGATACTAATCCTTCTGGAAAGCTTTCTATGTTACAGCTCAGGCATGGTGATACAAAAGACCTTAAGAAGTAAGCAAGAAACCAACGCCCACTTTTTTGCTTTTGACTTTTTTTTTTTGGTGTGGCTTGTATGAGGCTGAGGGCCTAAACAATCAAAGTAAGGTGCCCCCTTAAATAGTATAAAAAAACGTCATTTCAGTATCAAAAATCTTTATGATGGCCTGAAAATTTATTTTCATCTCTAACTATAAAATCTAAATAGTAAAAAAGCAGTGTAAATCAAGCCAAATCTATGAACACTTGAAAACTGATGGTCTAGATAATACATTACAAGATGCACTATTTCCAACACTTGAAATCCTTTTTTTTGTTTACATCTATGTATCTCAAGGTTGAGATGATCCAATTTGAGGGATTTTTGACATTGAAACAACTTTTTCTAGTGAATTTTTAAGGTGCGTCTTAGTTTAATTGTTTAGGGCCTCAATCTTATATAAACTATTTCCTCTTTTTTTTTCTTTTCTTTTTCTCTTATATAGAAGCTAACAATGTCTTAAAAGACTGTTATTTTGTGATTATGGTCTTTTGGCTAGGATTAATTTTATTTTTGTTCCCTTCTTTGCATATGTAATTTACAGGGAGACGAAACTGTTGAAGGAAAACCCGTTACGCAATTTCCCTCTAAAGAGTCTTCCAAGATGATCAGTTAAGTCTCATTAACTGTTCTTCTGGTTCTTTGCATTTTGTTAGGCTTCAACCCCCCTCCTCTCTCACTCTTTCTCTCTCTTAATTATTTTTTTTTACTAGTCCTGTCAATGAGGCCAGACATGTTTTGTATAATGTATTTGGTTGTCAATTGTATGGTTGCAAATTAAGATCACAACTTAGACTTTTCAAAACATGCATTTGGTTGTCAATTATAACTAGTACGGCTTTACTTACATTCAAAACATGCCTTTGATGCTTCAGTCATGATGAATGCAATCAATCATCAATTGTTGGTTTTATGCTCCTCTCTCTCTCTTCCCATATTATCTCTCTCTCTCTCTCTCCCTCTTCCGCCCCACCCACCCACCAAAGAAAAAAAAAACAAGTGAGGTCTTCATTGGTTTAGTTTATGAAAGGTCTCACATACTACTCAGTGCTATGAAATTTCTTAAATCGCCTTCCCATCAGCCCAACTTTGTGATGTATCAGTAGGAGTGGCAATGGACCCGGACGAATAGTGCTATTATTTGAATAGTATTTTAATAATATTTATTATTATCATTTTTAAAATAAATATAATTCTGTATTTTAGTTATAATATTTAAATAAGGGTGTGATTTCTATCGGGTTGCAACCTTAAACAATCCAATTAAGGTGCACCACCAAATTTTGTTATAAAATGTAATTTTGGTGTAAAACATTCTTAGGATTATCTGAAAATCTATTTTTTTCATCTAATTATAAAATTTTAACCTCCAAAAATAGTTAAAATCAAATAGATCTATGCCTATATGAAAATCTTGAAAAAGGACGGTCTAGATAATGTGTTGCAAGATGCACTATTTTTGGGACTCAAAATCTTTTTTTTCTTTATATTCATAAATCTCGACGTCGAGATGTTCAATTAAAGGGTTTTTCAACATTAAAACAAACTTTTTCGATGGATTGTTTAGGTGCATCCGTAATTCTACGCTTTAAGGTTGCAACCTTAATAAACTTTTTTCTTTAAATAATACATGTGTAGATTTAACATAATATTTAAATATATATTTTAAAAAAACTTTGGGTCGGTTCCAATCAGCTCCAGGTCCTATAATTTTTTTCGGTATCCTGGTCCGGATCCGACCGAACCTGTTGTCATCCCTAAACACCGTATCAAGGGGATCCTCAGGGCATGTGTTGTAGTAATTCCATCAGAGACCTTGATCAATTTGGTGCCGAGAAACAACACATCCCATTCCTATTAGTCCAGTGGTGATAACTGATGACCAATATGACTTTAAGATTGTGTGGAAAAGATAATTCCATTCATTGAATACAGTTTCTTTAAGTTCTTCAAGTTTACTCCCTTAAACCTTTCAATTTTATGGGTGTGGTTTGTATAAGACCGAGGCTCTAAACGATCAAAATACGGCGTACTATCAAATTGTCTCGTAAGACATTGTTTCAATACTGGAAATTTTTGTGATGTTCTGAAAATTTATTTTCATTTCTAATTATAAAAATTTAAAGTTTCAAAAATAATGTAAATTGAACATATCTATGAGCACTTAAAAATCTTGAAAGTTGACGGTCCAAAAATGCATTATAAGATGCACTATTTTTAAAACTTGAAATTCATTTTTTCTCATGTTCATGTAACTTGAGGTCAAGATGATCAGTTCCAGGATTTTTGGGCATCGAAACAACCTCTTCTAGTGAAATATATGAGGTGACCATAATTTGATTGTTTAGAGCCTTGTACTTATATAAACTTTTTCTTTTATCAAAATACCTGAGAAGAGATCATCTATTTAACAATTGACCTTTTTGAAACTATTCCAAGACCATGGGTTTATTCTATGTGTATTTTGAAATTAAATCTAAATATATGAAGGAAAAAAAAAGTATTAAACCGCTAACCTCTCATTGATAAATTTCCCTTATAGGAATCACAGCCAAAGAATTCGAAGCTTGCTTCTAATAGATACACAATTTAATGCTCCAAGTTCATATTGAGTATACACATTTTGCTGTGAACCATGATCAACATGATCTACCAAACTTTCACTGTGTTCTCCTCATTGCACTGATCTTGGTACTTCACCTACCACAAAAGGACTCGGTTTCTATGAGGCCAAGCCCGTATATGTAGACATGCGAGCCTCTGTAACATGGAGATCATGAATATAAAAAAATAAATAAATTTTTAAAGCTAAAATAATAATTCTAGTAAACAAACATATCTTACTAGAAATCAGTGCAATGTGTTCTCCTCATTGCACTTATCTTTGTACTTCACCTACAACAAAAGGACTTGGTTTCTATGAGGCCAAGCCCGCATATGTAGAATTGTGGGCCTATTAATAAATCTATTTTTGAAAACGATTTTAGGACTTAATTTTTAAGGACATGTAATCTCTAACATGGAGATCATGAATATAAAAAAATAAATAAATTTTTAAAAATAGAAATAATAATTCTAGTAAAAAAACATTTGTACCGTTAGTTTCCATTGTTTTTAGATAGAACACCTACTTGCATCCATCTTTAAGATGGATGCTTTACACTTTCTAGACCGCATATGTAGAAATGCAGTCCAGCCTGCATGAAACAATTTCCACCACAAAATCATCTTATGAATTAAGTCAAAAAATTTCCGAACTTCTGAACTTCCTCAAATTTAGCGTCTTCCGAATTGAATTTGATTAGTATGCAGCAGTGGCAATGGAGCCGGATCCAACTCAGGACCCTACAATCCAACCCGACCCGTGTCCGGATATGGGTCCAATTTCGGGTCAGGTCCAAGTCCAAATATTCAACCTAAATACTATTTAGGTCTAGGTTCGGGTCCTATAATTTTTTTCGGATTGATCCAGGTCCAGTCGGACCCGTTGCCACCCCTATAGTATGGAGCTCGAAGGGAAGAAAAAGAAGGAAGAAACAAAAAAACAAATCTTATATATTGGCGAATGGTGATCAAGGGTCATTCTCCAAATCCTTTTCCTTTTATGGAATTCCTTTTAGGATGCGAGAGCATCATGTAGAAATGTTTTGTCCCGCACTCTTTAAACTGGTTTTTAATGTGGGTGGAGCACCTAATTTTATGTGACGGGCAGAATCCGCTATTATATTGGGATGAGAGAGGAACAATTAAACACTTTAAGTATGCCTTTTGATAAAAAAAAGATCATATTTAAGATATCTTAGATTGATAATCCAAAAAAATGGAGAGATCGAGAAAGCTGTCGCATATAGAATTAGAGTTGGGTGGGTGAAATGCGGATGCGCAATTAGAATTTTATGTGATCGTCGTATACCAATTAGGCTGAAGGGTAAGTTCTATTGGAAAATGGTGATATCAGCATTGCTCTATGGGGCGGAATGTTGGGCAGACAAAAACAATAAACTCATAAAATGAGTGTAGCGGAGATTGGATTCGAAATGAATTTATTCGAATTGGGGCGGAATGTTAGCAAAACAAGAAGGGATTGAATTCGAAATGAATTTATTCGAGAGCATTTCGACATGGCACCAATAGACGATAAAAGGAGAGAGTGAACTTAGGTGGGCTGGCCGTATGTGGCGCCGACCAAGTACAATATCTGTTAGGAGGTGCGAATTAGTTCAAATAAAAATATTGAAAAGAACAAAAAGTAAGTCCAAAAGGACGTGCTTGAAAATTGTCCGAAAAGATATGGGAACTCATGACCTCATTGAGGATATAACCTTTAATGAGCAGAATGGAAAACCATAATTCATGTAGCCGACCACAATTAATTGAAAATAAAATAAAATGACGACGATGAATACTATCGAGAAAACACATGATATACAGATGAATAGTTGAAAATAGGCAAAATGTTAGACATTTGATCTCTAATCGATGTAAAAGTAAAAGCTTATATAAGGTTACAACCTAATACCATAGAATTAAGATGCACAACAAAAATTCAATAGAACATAGTATCCTGAAGTTGGAAGACTTCCAATTGATCATCTCCGCCTTAGGATATATGGATATAAAGAAAAAAAGAATTTCAAATTATAAACATAATGTATCTTGTAACAAGTTATCTATGATGTCTATTTTCAAAAATTTTAAGTGTTTATAGATTTAACTTGATCTGTATTGTTTTTGAAATTTAAAATTTCATAATAGAAATTAAACTTGGATTTTCTAGAAATTAAACTTGATCTATATTTTCTAGCATACTTTAAAGGTGCGCCGTACTTGTCATGGTGATTGATGGTAGCTCATCATGAATAATTTTACGAATACATTGCAACCTCGTATATGTTTTTTTAAAAAAATTAATTTATTTATTTATTTTTATATAGTAACACTGATAATGGAGGGTGGGACATTATGTTGGCATCCACCCCCAATCCACCGATGCCGCTTTTTTAAGTGTTCTTTTGAGCTTCAGATCATACCTATTGCTTTTTTATGTGTACCCTAACCTGTATTTCTTTAATCTTTTTACATAATGTGGACAAAATATTGGGTTCAATATCATAATCCAACTAGAAGGCACTCGTAGAGGCTACTGCATTCAGGGGTTTCAAACATGAGAGTCGAGGTCATAGTTACATTTGAATCATTAGAATATTTGAAGTGTAAAGAAATTTTGACAAAGATGAAGATAGGAAAGCTTTTAGGACCAGATGATACGTTGATAGGTGTTTGGAAGTGCATGGGGGAGGTCTACATATGTTGACTTAACAAGTTGTTCAA